ATGGCCTCCTAATTTTTGTAGGTTCGGGGGTTTGCGGTTTAGGGTTAAAGGGTTTCAGACTGCGAAATCCTAATATGGAGTTTGGGATTCTACCAAGAAAAAAGGCTTTGGTAGGTTAAGGTACCTGTACATGGCACCTGCAGCGCAAGCCCGCACCCCTACAATTGCGCCACCCGCCCTTACCCCCCCTCCCCGCCAGCGTTCGAAAAGCCGTCGATGGTCACGACGCCGCCTTTCTCGGTGAGGCCAGATATCTCGCTGCCCACTTCCTGGGAGCTGCGGGGCTTAGTTTTGAATCTCCTTCACGAACACTAAACTCCTCTTGGGGCATGTATTTTGGAGACAGCTGTAAAAGCACTTTACACACTGAATAAGACCGATCGGACAACAATCGTTCAGAATCTTTGGTCGTTCAACAACAACGACACCTGTTTGATCTTACCTACCTGGAGGGGCATACCCTATCCCTTATCAGGGTACCTACCTTGTTTGGATAACAGATCCTGACCACAAAACAACACACCCTAAAACATGGGTGGTACGACCCCTCAGGCAGAGTGACCCAAGTACCGCAAACGAGGAAAAGGTACCTATGTTTTAAGGACATACTGTTGATGATATAAATCCTGCATTACCCTGAAGCGAATAGACAGTTTAGGATTAAGGGTTAAGGGCTTAGGGCGAAAACTACATACCCTAAGCCCTAAACCCTAAACCCTATATTACTTGCGGCTCAAGGTTCGGAGTATAATCAGGAACCCCAAAGTAGAATTAGGTGATTAATCATGCATTTAGTCCCCTATATAAAGCCGGACATCCTGGACAATGAAACTAAGGCATCTGGGATTGGCAGCGTGTTGCATGACACCGGGGCACCGGGCGGGAACTCTAGAACAGTCTTCCTCCGCAACATGATGCGTTGTTCCAAACTCCAAACCCTAAGCCCCTAAACCCTAAACATTAAGAGGAAGCAGCAACGGAAACACTCTAAACCTGAAGCTCGTGATAGACAAATAACCTTGATGCTAGGATCCTGATACCTCCGAACCCAAAACCCTAAAACCTCTAACCCTATAAAACCCTAGACCCCCAAAACCCTAAACCCCCACCCAAACCCCGCCGCCCTGAAGGCATTGACATATATATATATATATATATACATACACATAAATAGATAGATAGAGAGAGAGAGATATATATATATATATATAGAGGGAGGGAGAGAGAGGGAGAGAGAGAGAGAGAGCGAGAGAGAGAGAGAGATAGAGGGAGGCTCATAGGACCCTGACCCTAAAGGTCAAGGTACCTAGACGGTATCCCAATGGCTCCAAGTATACGAACAAGTCTTACTTGGGGTTCAGGGCTAGGCGTCGGGTTAGGGCTAAGAGCTCCAAGTGTACAAATACTCTTCCTTTCAGGGCTCCCTTACAACTTCAAGGGCTCTTTTAAGGGTTCCTTTGAGGCCATAAGGTGAACTCCGAGCCCGGATGTTTCCGACCGTGCGGCCTCTTCGTATTTCACCCGGCACTGAGGGAGCAACCTGGGCACGGTTTTTTTGGGGGTCTGCGGTTTCGGTTTAGGGGTGTTCAGGGTTTAGGGGTGTTTAAGGCTTAGGCTTTAGGGTTTAGGCTTCAGGGTTTGGGCTTTAGGGCTTGGGCTTGACTGTAAGGGTTGTTTGGGCTTTCGGGTTTGGGGTTTAGGGTCTTGGGGTTTAGGCTTTGGGGTTTAGGGCTTAGCTTGAGGTGGGGCATTAACTGACGTGTTCGTTTGGTTGATACGGCCGTGCAGCATCAGAGTGTGGGACTGGGGGTTTGGGTGGGGACATCTTCGCTAGGCCTGCCCTGGCAACTGTATGCTTCAAAAAGCTTCAAGAAAGCTGAGGATCACTTCGGACAGATTTCGAGGGTTTAGGGTTTAGGGGTGCGCGGTTTAAACTGCTAGAAGCCAAGATATTTCGAATAGGGCTCCAAGAGCATATCATGCTATGATTGTATGATGTATTCGCAGGCAATTACACTATTCATTAATGTAGTATGCGCTTGCACCATCTTGCACCCACCCCTGGATACTCCTGGTGTTTCGTTTTCGGGAGAACTGATCGCGAGTTTAGGGTTTGGGGTTTAGTTTTATGGTTCAGGCGTTTAGTGGTTTCAGGCTTTACCCAGAGCCCCAAATGAACCCAAAGCCCCTTCGCCCTACGCAAAGAGCTCCTTGTTTGAATATACTATCGAGAGTGCCCTACTATTGAGGGGGCCCCTCCGTGGGTTTTATGGCTAGGATACATAAAAAAAAAGCACTGTGAACTCCCAAACCCTGAATGCTAAACCCTCAAGCAAGTCCAGAGCCAAGATGCTGGAAGTCCAGGCCATTCATAAAGGTTAGGGTCACCTGCGCCAGAACTCGACTTTCTTAGAATTATAAAGGGTACCGTGTCAATGAGTCCTTACGATAAGGGTCCTGCCATCTAGGGTCTCTCTACATGTACCCTAATTACAGCCGAAAACCGTAAATTCTTACGAAAAAATTTACCTTCTGTCGATTCTCGGAGTGTCAGAAACACGACTGAGGACTAAATCCTCGCAGTTGCAACTTTCGCAGGCCACAGGAATATGCGCGAAACCAATTTGGTCCAAACGTCTCACGAGACATCACAAAACCATGACCGTTTGTGCCCCCAAACTTCACCTAGGGACCCTGTAATCTGTAAGAGTACTTAATGATTGTTGCTGGGACGTCGCCGGCTAAGCAACATACCCGCAGAACTACGAAACCCGCAATCACGAAAGGCCATACGACCCTAACACACTGCACCAGAAACCAGACCGAACCCTAAACACACCTAAACCCTAGAAACCATTCAGAAATCTACAAATAAAACCCCACGAAGCCCCATTATAAACTCTACCTTATGACTATGGTCTAGCTCAAGACATCTACCATACATTAAGACCCTGAAGCCCAACCAATAAAACGTGAAACACGCCAAACTCCAAAACACCAAACCACTGCAAGACCCTTATACAGGCCTTTGAAGAGCCCAAGAGGAAGCCCTAAACTCCCTTAATCACACTAAACTCAAAACGCTAAGCCAGCCCTAAACAACCCTTAATCACTCTAAACTCAAAACGTTAAACCAGTATAATCCTTGCGACAACACCAAATATCAAAACGGCCCTACGCCCCATACTACCCTTAAAGGAACAATACAGGAACCTCTAAAGCCCCGGACGAGACATTTCAAGGCCCTATGACATCCTGTAAAAATCAACTCTCATGAAAGTCTTCGAAAACCCGTAACGAGCCCTTGCATGGACCAAAACAAGCCTCTTCACCCCCTAGAACTCCCGAAGCACTAAACCCTTCTAGTACCCCTTGAAGGACCTCTGAAGGAGCTCTTAAAGCCCCTAACAGCTGATCGGCTGATGGCTGATGCGCACTTTGGAAACCCACTTTGGGAGCACAATGCAACTAGTAGTAAGTTAAGGAACCCTAAGTAAGGCAGCAAGGCACGCTGTAGGTGATCTCTCGGGCTTATGATAGACTCCTATACTACCCAGCCAACCCTATAACTACTACACTTAAAAGAACCCTCACAGGACACCCTAAAGCCAACCCTGAAAGTCCCTCCTCCCAGCCTCAGAGCAGCCGCGCAAGGCCTCCAACCGCTTTTGGAAGCCCTGCAAAGAGAAGGCGCCCACTTTTTTCTCTAGGTTCCTTTAAGGGGGTCTGTAGCCCTGTGCTTCCGGGGACCCTATATATAGGGCCCTAGACCCCTTAAGGACCCAACAATGAGGTCCCTGGAAGCTTAGGGTAGGGTCCTTTCGGAGTTTTAAGCGTTCGAAGCCCTAAACCCTAACCCGGTCTACGCCACGCAGGGAGGCCCAAGAGGCGCAGCCTCCCGCCAGCCCTTCTACAGCCTCTTCGTGCATGTTGTATGTTGCGCGCGCGCGCGCGCGCGCCTGTGTGTATGTGTGTGTGTGTGTGTGAGTTTGTATGTTTGTATGTGTGTGTGTGTGTGTGTCAGTGCGGGAGCGAGAGCGGCGGGAGAGCCTTCAGGAAGAATAAGAACCCCACAATGCCAATTATCGCAGTCCTATACTGCAGCACCATAAGCCCTAAACCCTGAGCAGATTTCCAGTTCCAGCACTCGGCCTCCATGTTCTGAGCGACCTGGGCAGGGAAGGACCAGTCACAAATTTACCCTAAAGGAAACCTTAAAGGAACCCCTACTAAGAGAAGCCTTAGTTAAAGGAGCCCCCCTAACAGCTCCGTGGGCTCGTTTTGAACGGCTCCTTTTAAGGGTAAAGGTTTAGGGTTTGGTGTTTACGGTTTAAGGCGGCTTAGGGTTTAGTGGTTCTAAGGGTTTATACGCCTTACAGTGAAGGATACTACAGGGGATTAGTATAGGGCCTTGGCCTTGGTCAAACTACCAATAATAATAAGGGCTCCAAGTAATGTAGGCTCCTTATTCATCAGGAAAGACTTAAAGAATTGTTTTCCTTTGAAAGGGTACCCTGGGGGTTCTATGTAGGGTGCTACAAGGGGAATCATGACGTATCCTGCCCAGACGTATGGGCCAACCATGAAAACGTCCACCCGACCTCACTCGTTCCGCGGAGCATCCATGGGTCAAAACCATGATCCCAGACCTCATCCGTCCCGCAGAGCATCCATCGGCCAAGGGTGATAACGTCCACGCAGACCTCACCCTTCCCCAGTGCACCCATAGGTGCACCATGATATCAATCACCCAGACCTCCTCCTTTCCCCAGAGCAACCATGGGTCAACTGTGACGTTATCCCACCCAGACCTCATCCGTTCCCTGGAGCATCCATGGGCCAACGAGTTCAGAGCAGCCATGGGACAACCGTGATAACGTCCACCCAGACCTCATCCGTGCAGAAAGCCAACGGCATGCATTCATCACTGGCACTCAGAGCATCGCCCGGCGGTGGCAGACGGCACACGACTTATTTCCCTCGACTCTCCATGCGAAGCATGGAAAAGAGGTCAATCCTGATTCGTTAAATAACTCACTCTTTGCGTTCGTGTGGAGGTACCAGCTGTCGCTCACGCAAGACTTCATTCAGGCTCTGGCTGACATTTCCTTGTTCGTCGTGCTGTTATGCGAATATCGTCGCGTGTGCACAAAACACAAAATTTAGCGGATGTGTGGAGCCTGCACCCTATGGTTTCGTAATTTATCGGTTGTCAGCCTAGCCACATAGTTCCCAAGACGAAATGTGCAAAACCCAAGCGAAAAGCCCGCTGCATGAATTTAGTCTCCAGGTTTTTGCGTACCTGTGACCCGCTTTGCGGGTTCCTTTAAGGATTCTGAAGGGTCTCCTTACAGGGTTCCTTTTTGGCTTCTTATCGTGTAATGTAGTCGCCTTGATAAGTAGAAGAAACTTTTGAGATAAAGAAGCTTAAGGGATCCATTCCTGATTGCTCTGGCCAGCCCTGCCTAAGATCCAAAAACCTGAACCTTATGCAACCTGCCTTTTATGAACCCTGAGAACTAGTATTGGCTATTGGTCACGATCCCACTCCAATGTAAAACCCTAATAATTAGAATAGAGCTTTGGGGCCCACTATACTATACTTATGATGGGTAACCCCAAAATAAGATAGGTAATTATTTAGGCCCCTATATTAGACTAAACCCTCAAAACCCCTAAACCCCAAACCCCTAAACTCGAAACCCTAAACCCGGAACCCTAAACCCCCAAAACCCTAAACCTGAAACCCTAAACCCCGAAACCCTGAACCCTCAAACCCCCGCCGAAGAGCATCCGCCAGTGTCGTCGGCAGAGGGCCAAAGTCCTCACCCTCGAGGCTGATGAACTGCTCCTGCTTCTACGGGTTTGGGTTTAGGGTTTAGGGTTTAGGGTTTAGGGTTTAGGGTTTAGGGTTTAGGGTTTAGGGTTTAGGGTTTAGGGGTACCATAAGGGGTTTGTTACTTGAATCCTTCAAGGGTATCAGAAGGGCTTAGGGTGTAGGGCTGCAGGGTCCATGGACCCAAGTCGTATAAACATCGGCCCTCCCGATATAAATACGTTGGGGCCAAAGGGACCAGAGGATCTGCAGGGTTGCTCAAAAGGTTCCTTAAAGGGCTCCTTACGTGGTGGTGCTTGAAAGGGTTGCTTGGAGGGCCCCTTAAAGGGGTTCCTTTTCGGGTCCCTGAGAGGGGTCCCTTAAGTGCTATAAATGTTCTGTTAGGGCTTTGTGGGCTTACAGCTCACGGTTTACATGGTGTAGGGTTTGGGGTTTGGTATCTAGGGTTTAGGATTATAACGGTCTGCATTGTGAGCTTGTTGATGATATCTCTTATTATAGTAACTGTCATAAACAGGATCTTGTTATTTGGGGTACACATTGGGGCCCAAATTCTGCTTAAAGGCCCACGGTATGACAAAAGACTCCTAACACTCTCTAAGTCTGTGGGTTAGTAGGGTTCGGGGTTTAGGGGTTCAAGGTTTTGATTTGAGTTTTGGGGTTTCAGGAATCTTTTCTCCTACTGATCTGGAGCTTCTTGATCTGGGGTTTGGGTTTATTCGGGTCCGCGAGTTGTCACTAGCAAGGTTCTGAGCTAGATGCCCTTTGCCCGAGAAAATCCTGCACGATGAAGTGCCCCAGAGGGTTATGTATAACCCCGGGTCTGCATTAGGGTTTTGGGGTTAGGCGATTTAGGGCTTAGGTTTGGGGTTTAGGGTTTAGGGTAAGCTCAAACACGGAACCAGCATGGATCCACATCCCCGAGAACCCAGAAATGTCGGAACGAGTGACATCTTCGGCTTCAGGATTATTATCTACATTAAACATTGTAGAAAACTTTGCGGTCTAGGGTTTAGATCTCGAGCGCGAGCATAGGGGCACCAACAATCCGAATAGGGTTGGGGAATAAAGTGGTATAGTTATATCAAAGAGCCCCAGGGAGGAACAATGGCACTTATTCTCCCGATCCCCCTATATCTAAATCCTAAAAGGTAAGTCCGCAAATCCTCAACCCACCCTGAACCCCACATCCATAAACGCTCAATGCCAACTCCACAAACTCTTAAAACGCCAAGGTCCAAAACCCGATACCGAAGTCCGAAGCCCCTAATCCCTAGACTCATAACTCCTAAACAGTTAACCCATAAAACCTTATATAGAACTCTAAAACCTCTGAACCCTAAACCCCTAGACCCATAAATCCTAAAAAGTAAACCCCTAAACCCTCCTATAGTTCTAAGGCCCCGTATATCCGTTAACTAAGGAATATACCTTAACTCATATTAGGGATCCTACTATATAGTAACTTAAGGTATATTCCAAAAATACGGGGTATTGGAGTCTCTGAGCTTCCATAATCCCTAAACCCTAGACCCTAAACCCCTAAAACCCTAAAACCCTAAACCTTTAAGGCCCCCGTTTTTTGCTTCCAGGCCTCGCGAAGCAGCGCGCCCACGTCCAAGAACCAGCCAACCATCACGCCGGCGGTCTGGGCCGGGCCCTGCCACAGGGTTCAGGGTTCTGGGTTTGGGGGTTTGGGGGTTTAGGGGTTTCGGGGTTTCGGGGTTTAGGGTTTACGGTTTAGGGTTTCAGGGTTTCGAGGGTCGACATTGGTGGGTTCAGGGGTTCTAATATTATGTTTTTAGGTGGGTTTAGGGGTTTAGGGGTTTAGCTGGTTTAGGGGTTTAGTTGAATTTAGGGGTTTAGGGTTCGGTGCAGGGGGGATGTACAAGGTTATGTATAAGGTGCTTGTCGGTTTTTTTCGGCTCTGCAGCCCTAAACCCTAAACCCTAAACCCTAAACCCCAAAACCCTAAACCCTGAAACCGAGGTCCTAAACTCGGCCTTCTTGGAGAAGCCGGTGACAGTGAAGGGCGCCAGTGGATCGGACACGTCGAACCTCCCAAAAGGGCTGAAGTTCGTTGAGAACCCTAAACTTAAACCCTACACCCTAAACCCTAAACCTTAGGGTCTTCCCAGCTGTTTTATGGATTGTTCATATGGGTTCGATGCGGTCATTTTACATTGTATACGGGCTTGATTTACTGGGCGCTTGCTTGACATGGGGGCTTAGGCAATTGGTTAGTTAGTGTTTGTGCAGAGGTTTAGGGTTTAGGGCGTAGAGTGGGTATCAGAATCAACATTTCTTCTGAAATTCAAGCAACACGTGGTGCACTCATGACAGTGACGGTCAGTGTTCATGTTTGGACATGAGGAGAATCTGAGTAGACGCCATGCTGCCAGCCGGGGGTGAGCCCCAAATCCTAAACCCTGCAACCTAAAACCCCAAAACAATAGACCCCTGAACAAGGGCTAAACCGGTAAACCCTCAACCCTGATCCCCAGTCCAAGGTTCATGGGACAGTCATAAGTAAGGCAAGCATACTTGCAGTTTCTTGCAGCTTATAGCCCTGTTTTAGGGACTTGTAGCTGTACTTACAAAGTAACATGATCCCCAGCCCTAAGCCCTAAACCCTAAAACCCTAGACCCTAAAGCCTAAANNGGGGGGGGGGGGGGGGGGCGTAGGTCGAAGGTCCCCATGCAACTTCTGCTTTCAGGTATAGGGTTTAGAGTTTAGAACTTAGGGTAATGCGGGATGTGGTATAGGGGCTTGTAGGGCTTCATGTAGGGTGTTGGGTTGAAATGACCGAGGGTTTAGACTTTTGGATTTGGGTAATTGTCTAAATTAAGGTCGCATTTCAGGTCCCGAATATAGTACGGTCCCCTTATAAAAAGGACCCCACAATGGACCCTGATTTAGAGAACTATCCATTTGGGGTCTGAGCAATAAGGCTTCGCTGTCAGAGTAGAGATTTAGATTTGGGGCTCCCGAACCCGGCTACATGTAGGGTTTAGGGTTTAGGGGTTTGGGGTTTAGGGGTTTTGGGGTTTTGGGGTTTGGGGTTCAGGGGTTTAGGGCTTTGGGTTTAGGGATTAGGGATTAGGGTTTAGGGGTAAGGGGTTTGGGGTTTAGGGTTTAGGGGTTTTGGGTTTAGGGTTAACTACTGCTGGTGATATAAATCCTGCATTACCTTAAGGACCCTAAACTACGGCAAGTATGGTATATTCCTTACTATATGGGTATAACGCAGTATTTATATCAAAAACCGTACGTACCCAACCTCCAAACCGACTCGAACCTGAATCGAAGCAAAAGCCGAGTCCTTAACCAAAATCCTATAATGACCGGTCGGACGGAACCAAAACCTCAATCCCTGATCCCAATTAGGGTTCAGGGTTTAGGGTGGTTTAGTGTTTAGGGTTTATGGGCTCCAAGATTAGATGATAAGCAAACCCCTAAGGACCACCCTGTGCACTCTGGCCGAAGAGAATTCTGATGCTCAAAGAATGCGCGCATGTCTGGCCTGAATCCTGCGATCTCGCTGCCCACTGTCATGCCCTCCTCGTATGTGACCTGGACGGTTTTCCTCAGACAGCGCAAGGTTCGCTTGAGGGTTAGCAGGTATAAATCAATAAATCCTTAAAGGGCTTAAACTTACAAGTCAGGCTGTACGTGCTGGAACCGTGTTTGTGTTCAGTACCCATGAGCCCTCATCTCAACTTTAAGTGAGACCCTGCATTTACATGTAGTTCGTTCTCTTCAGGCGTTCAACTGGCTTGGGGTTGGGGATCTACTTTTCACGGTCTTGCAATGAGGGTTCAAGAACTTATAGCAAAGACACTCCCAAAACACAACTGCACGCGTACTATGATCCCTAACTTAACTTTTGGCACTTGGACCCTCCAGGTAAACGGTAAACCCTAAACCGGTACGAGCCAGACCAAACGCCCATTACTACCGTTACTAAACAGCCTACCCAAGAACAACGAAACAAAGCCTGTCAGATCAAACCTGAGACTTCCTCAAACGGATGGGTAGTTGTCAAAATTAGGGTCCCTTTGTGGCTACCCTAAACAATAGGTGCCGTATTATAATAAGGACCCAAAAAGGGACCATAATTTTGACAACCACCCAGATGAAGAAGAAAGACCGTATAAACCACTCTCTTATTTAAACCGAAGGACCCCGGAAACCCCCTCCCAAGGCTCTGCATGGAAACATGGGCCAGGCACGTACGGGAACTCCCTGACAAAGTTTGTGCGATTTCTAGAAAGGTACCAGTTGTACTCTTGGAGCCACTCAGGAACACATACGGTTGATGACATAAACCCTGCATTACCTTAACGACCGTATACTAAGGGAATCATGTTATAGTCCTTATTGCTTAAACCCTATAACCCTAATGCAAGATTTATATCATCAACCGTAGCACGGGGTCGGGAGCACGATTTTCGGAGGCACCGATTCTCAGAAAAAAATAATAAAATGGCGCCGTGGCGGGAGCACGAGGCTGATTGAAAACCACTCTGTCAGGAGTTGTGAGGGTTTCTCTAAAGGTTTCGGGCTTAGGACTTCGGGATTTGGATTTAGGGTTTGGTACCCTAAACCCTAAACCCTAAACCCTAAACCTTAAACCCTAAACCCTAAACCTTCGAGCTGAGACTCCTCGAAAAATCGCTCAAGCCCTGACACCCCACACCCCAGACTCTGGAGCTTTGCACCCGAAGCCCGAAACCGAAAACCGCCAAAGACCCCCACAACCCTACCTATAGTCCCCATTGTGGTTTAGGGTTTAGGGTTTAGGGTTTAGGGTTTAGGGAACCCTACCTATAGTCCCCATTGTGGTTCTTTTTTTGGATAGCTAGGTTTATAAGGCTCGGATCCTAGAATATGAAGAATGGTTAACCAACATGAACTGCAATGGAGAGTCATACATAGCATTCACGAACTCATCACAAGACGATCCAAAAACTCCGGAGTGGCAGTGGCCCCGAACCCTAAAGCCTAAGCCCTAAACCCCTAAACCCTAAACCGTGGGGCGCTGAATTGCCGAACGAAGCTCTGCTCTTCTGCGACAGAGCTGACACAGTAGCCTCAGAAACGGCACAGGCCGGAGTAATGTAGGGGCCTTAGGAATTAGAACAGGGTTTTGGAGTCTACTATACTATAATCATAATGAGGAGCCACCAAAATAGCATAGGCAATTACTACGGTCCCTATAATAGGATTCAGAGCTGGGGTTTTAGGGCTTCAGCGGTTCAGGGTTTTGAGCTTCAGGATAATTAGGGCTTGGGGTTCAGGAGTTCAGGGTTTAGGGGTTCAAAGTTTGCAGCTTTAGGATAAGGTTTAGGGTTAAGGGTTTAGGGTGTATCAGCCTTCCGACAGCTGCCTCGACTCTACACGTGCAAGCCCAACACAACGGAAAAGCTTAAACCCGTGAACACAAAACCGAAAGCTCGTATACAGCCTAGGTTTGTCAGGGCTCGACCCAAAACCCTAAAGCCTAAACCCTAAACTCTAAACCCCAAGCCCTAAAGCCTAAACTCCCTAACTCCCTAAACCCCTAAACGTAAGGTGGAGCCTGAGCCCTGAATCTTGGAGGATCCGAGACGAAGAGCGCGCGCGGCCATTGTCAGAAGCATCCAACCACTCCTGAAGTACGGTTTAGGGTTTAGGGTTCAGGGTTTAGGGGTTTATATAAGGGTATCTCAGTTGCTATTTTCACTCACAGCGGCCGAAAACACTGTAAACTAAACCCTAAACATAGTAGGGTTTAGGGTTTAGGGTCTAGGGTTTAGGGTATAAGCCCTTAAAGCCAGAAGCATCTTTAAACCCTAAACCCTAAAGCTGAGTCCTGGAAGACACCGCAGATCTCCGCCTCATCGGCATCGATGCGAACCTTCCACAGGCCCCCTTCGGAGCGGCCTCAGTCGAGAAGGATTAGGGTTCAGGGTTTAAGGGTTTAGGGTTTAGGGTTCAGAGGTTTAGGGGGTTAGGGGTTTAGGGCTCAGGGGTTTAGGGTTTAGGCATCGGTTTAGGGTTGAGGGTTACGGGTCTAGGGTTCAGGGTTTAGCGGTTTATAGGGTTTAGGGTTTAGGGTTGAGGGCGTCGGTAAGGTTTGAGGTTCCTTCTAAGAGTACCGTAGGCTTCTATTATAGGATTCCCTTTAAGGGTTCCCTTAATGGTTCTTTAAAGGACTTAGGGCCCCACATAGGACCGTCAGGTCTTACATAGGACGGCTAGGGCTTCGGGATTTTGGTGGTTCAGGGTTTCAGGGTTTAGGGTTTGGGATTTGGGATTTGGCGGCTGTGGTGCCAGATGTCCCAAATAGCCCAAAGTAGGTGCGAGTTCTAGACTGCAAATCTTCAAAACAAGTGTGCTTTTGTATACTTGGAGACCGAGACCAAAGGGGGGTCGATCACTAATGGTATTTTCCGATAGTCCCACTCGAGCTATCCTGCAACATACCCCGCCGCCCCGCCTGCGAAAAACCCTATATTATAAACCCCTAAGCTCTAAACCCCTAAACCCTAAACCCTAAACCTTAAACCCTAATAAACCCCAAACCCTAAACCCTATAAACCCTAAACCCTAAACCCTAAACCCTAAACCCTAAACCCTAAACTTAAACCCTAATAAACCCTAAACCCTAAACCTCTAAAA